AGAGATTTATACGCATAGTCCCTTTAGAGATTTACACACAAAATCAGTTTCTGAAGATGAAACCTTGAAGAAATCAAATGGCTCGTAGCCCTGTATTAATGGAATATATATCATGGTCTTAATTTTCATGGTAGGATCAATTTACTTTTGAAATAGATGAGACGTAATGGATTGGAAAGATACAGCTAAGCAGCCTTAATCACAAGCTGTATGATCACTGCCATCTAGGCAACTTCACAAAGAGCCCTTGGGCAGAGAGTACAGGGAGGTTTGTGCTGCTCTGTTCAGTAAATACTTACAGGAACCCTTCAAAAGGGCAAAACTTCTAGGGGGCTCTGAGGTGTCCCAGCAGCACAGAACTGCCAGCAGGGGGTCACAGATGTAGTGTGAGTTACTCATTTTCTGTGGTTTAGGATTTAATCGGAGGCATTTCTTTTTCACTCAGCAGCACATCATTTTTGTTTCCACAGGGTGGATAATTTGTCTAAGTACCTCAGTGGACTGAAGGAGCAAGAAAAGAGGCTTAAAGTTATAGAATCCCAGGTAAGTCATACCAACATCATATCAACATTAGGATCTCACTGTTTCTTTCTTTTTTGTGTGTGTGTCTTGGCCCATTTTTTATCACTGATGCTGGTCTTTGACAGTGTTTGGTATTCATTCTGTAGGGATAAAAGGAATAATCTGTATAATGACTTCACTTTCCTTATTTTATCTGTAATTACAACCATATAAAGAAACTTTTCTAACCTCCCATAGAAAGGGGAACACAGTTTCTCACTCTTTTTGCTAGCATACTTCAGAAGTGTCCACTTCTTCCCCTCAGGCTGCCTCTGGATGCAAATCCTCCACACGCCTTTCCCTTTCTTCACCCAACCTTTCTTACTTTAAAAGTGACAACAATGAAAACACCCATACTCTGTCTTATTTGACAGAGACTAATATTGGACATCGGTTTTCAAGTTTTCTTGCATACAAGCTTCTCAAAGGGAAGCACTAACACATAAATGCTCAACAAGAATAATAGAAGGAAACTCTATCTCAAGCTTTTGATGGCAAACCCTTAGAACATAAATAAATGTTTGTTAAACAGTTTGAAAATGCTGAGCATTACTGTGTGCTACATAGTAGAACTCTTATTGTTTTCTCTGTTCCCAGAATTCTCCAATGCAATTTTGGCCTAGTCGAAAGTTGCTTGCCTTAATGCTCCCATTGCAGTTTCTCCCCCATTTCTTATCACTTTTATGGCTTCCTGGAAAAAGCAACTCTATTCAATAAACAAAATTGAAACCAAATACAGGTTCAACAGGAATACACAATAAATGCTTTAATAAGGTTGTGCCAGAATGAGATAATGCAATATACTCACAAAATAAGGAAGACATTCAACACTGATCTTCCTCCAAGTCAGTTCAACTATTTTGAACAAAGTTGAGTATGATAATTCTGACACTGCTTCCAGTTGCTACCTACAGTCTTTCCTGTAAATTTAAGATTGGATGCAATACTACAAAAAGAAAAACTGATGCAGAAACCACTGCCTGTTCTATAGATTTGCTACTGTACAGCTGTTATCTCCTCAATGGCAGATGTTTTAACCAAAACCAACCTCTTCTGCAAGCAGACAGATCCAAACTACACATGTAAGTATTGAAAGCCATCACGGAAAACCTAATTAACACAGGCGGGCGATTTCATTCAGAAAAATGCAACAAAACCAAAAAAGATTGGAAAGGAACTACAGAGGGAAGTGCAAAGGAGTACGCCTACAGGTAATGGAAATACAAACAGCAAACAGAATATTCATGCACCTTTGGCAAAACGTATCCAAAAGCTTGGGGTTATGGGAATGGACTATTGTTCACTGCAGCTTAGAATGACATCATGTAATGTTAAGGATACGTGGTTTCCTGAAAGGACTGTCTCTTGGGATTCTTTTTTTTTTCCCCTTTTCTTTTTCTTTTGAGTCAATGAGACAATACTACCAAGAAATTGACTTTTGCACAGTAATAACCATTAAAAATATATATATATCACATTTTGTTTTAATCAACTCGGTTCATCTGCCTTTGGTGCTGCAATTCTTTCTGTCATTTGGTAACTTCGTCTTACATCCCAGAACTCCATTTTTTGGAGTTTAAAAGATCAGAGGCAGAAAGAGACTATATCTCAGCCAGTACAGGATATCCAACTCAGTAAATATTTTGAAATAGATAATTAAGGAAACAATCAAATATTTACTAATTACTGTATCTTGCCAAAACAACAACAGCAAGAACAAAAAAAAAAAACCACAAACCCATCTCTCCAAAAACTTACACCAAGCATGAGGGTACAAGGGAAACAAACAGCTGGAAACCCAAGTAAGTCTTGACATGACAAGACCTCAAAGCATTCCTGCAGGCAAAGGTGTGCTGGATCCCATGAAATATGTCAATTTTTCTTTGTCCATTTGTATTGACGTCAGTGAAGGTGGAGGGGGAATGAGATCTGTCTGAGGTTCCTGAAGCAAACCACAGATATACCAGAAACAAATAATTTGCAATTTTCCCAGCCATGGGAGGAAACATCAACATACTTAACCAGGCATATTATTCTAATTTTAAACATAGGCAAAGCAAAGCCAGCTTAGAAAAATATTTTCTTTCTTACCACCTCAGTATGCACAGCAAGCTATAATATTCTGAAAATACTGAAAGAAATTGTCAGTGAAAATTGAAGTCTAATGATAAAGAAGCAGATTTGATCTTAACTGCAGCTCTGTCCTACAACAGTTTGCTATAACCAGCTTCTCAAGAATCGAATTAACCTCATATTTGACTTAATTTTTGTAGTTTTCAAAGCACATAAATACACTGGTTCATTATAAGCATTCCAGTAAAAACTGTCCTGTAGCACGTTACTTAGACTATTTTAATACTGTGTTGCATAGACTCAAATAGCTGAGGAAAAAAGAAGGAAAAAGCCCCAAGAAACCTGTTTTTATCATTTATGGAGCAAACATGAAGTACTTCAACCTACAGTGTAATTTTACTGTGGGTTATTTCCAACATTTTAAAGTTTCCTCATTACTATTATGTAACCCTTGTCCTAAAGCTTTTAAGAAACACGTAACTTTTACAATCCTACTAGGTTTGAGAAATGCCAGCACTGAAGTGCCTTTGCCAGAAAGGGCTGGAAGAGAAGAGCGTGCAGATCCAACTGAGGCTGACGTCACCTACATCGATAATTAAATTTCATTCTCATTTCTTTGCACTGAACCCTTTGCCCTGCTGAATTACCATCGAAGTAAAATCCTGATCTCAGGAAGGCACAAGACCCAAACCTTGAAGTCTTCAGTGCTATCTTCACACCTTATGAGAAATAATACTAATGTTTGATTTCTTGAACTTTCTTCCCTACCGCTCCTCCATTGGCCTTTTCTCCATTGCTCCCCCCACAGACTGCACTAGGTCCAGGATGACAACCACCTTGTTTTCTACACAGCCTGTTCCCAATGTTCCATGCTCTAATCACACTTCATCATCACTGATTTTCATGTTCTTTCCAAAGGAGTTTCCCTTTTAAAGGGCGATCATTTCCTCACTAAAAACCAACCCACTTCCTATGCCAAAAAAGCGAGCTTGCATTTATGAGTTGCTTTGAAAAGAATTGAAGAAAGTTTCCACAGGAAAGAAGGGGCCTGGGATACCAACTTTTATACAATTCACACAGTTCCTAGAGTTCTTGTAGCTCTCAAATGATTGCACTCACCGTTTCTCCTCCCACTTCTGGCTCTCTTCTCCGGCTGTTCATTAATGCAGGCTCCTCACTCATCCCCAAAAACTCACTGCGTGGTTCTCAAGTCTTCAGTGGCATGCAGAGAGTTTCCAAACACAAAGCAGGTGACCACACCAGTCAGACCCCCAGCTTCTGCTGCTTGCTTTTTCAGTTCAGTGCCAGATCATGTACCTGCTGTCAGCACACTGCTATTCTAAGACATCACCCTTGCATCTAAGCAATTCTCAATTCTCTGACTTCATTGTTTTTCTCTCAAAGCTCAGAAAAAAAAAAAAAAGAAAAAAAAAAGGAAAAAAAACCAAGAATATTTAGCAAGAATTTTCTTAGAAACTATGAATTTGGACTGATGGCCAATTTTTTGCATTACTTCAACTGACATGTACCTTTCTAGCACACAAATGTTAGCTGGCTTTATTATAGTTTTGTATGAGATACACAAATAAAATGAGCACGACTGCTGTCCTGTAACGGGAATTTTCTTTGCATCAATGTAAACAGTGTCAAAAAAGGGAAGTAAGCAGTGGGTTGTGGTCACACACTGCTAAGTTTCAACTAACTTAATTTCCTCATTCATATTTTACACTGCTCATACACAACAAAGATAGGTTGGGAGAAAACTCTCTATTGCCAGATATCTCAACACAGAGTTGGGGGGGAAAAAAATCTCAGATGTGATCAAAATGTCTTTCAACAGGAGTCTTTAATTAATAGAAATTAATCTTCTGACTTCTTCATAAATAAGTGATTGTCCAACTTATCCAGCTGCACCCCTGACCATAGCAGCACCGTTAACAACGACAGAACTTGGATCCTGTGCTAAATGCTCTTCACTCTAGGCAAAGGGTAAGTTGTAAAACCAGCATGATAGTACTGAGCTGCGTTGTTTGTTAGGAAATAAGGCGTATATTGCAATCTGCAACCTGCTGTATTCTTCTCAACCACTTCCTTTCTGATAGGCAAACAACAAAAGCTATTTTTGTTGTTGATCTGATTCAGTCTATCAGGGTATGTATGTATCTATGTATTGTAAAATCACCAAAATCTTAAAAATGTGAATTTTAGATTCCAAACCTTAAGAAGCTGAAGGAAAGTTACAAGAAGCTAAGCTGAGACTAACATTCCAGATTCTAGGTGTTCTAAACAGTTCTCAAATAAATGAAGTAGTCATTTGAACTCCTATGTTTGCATTAATATCAGTACAGTTCAAAGGGATGCAGAAATCAAAGTACAACTGAAAGTTTATTGAATTCCAAAGTAAAAAGCACCCAGTTCTACAAACACCCTGATTCCCACCAAATGTACACCAAGAAACGTGGAAGTAGTGCCATCTGGAAAGGCTAAACAAATATGCAGGCAAAAAAATAAATCAACACATCATAGTACTAAAAGAAGTTGTGTTAACTGATCTACACTCAACATGAAGAGACTTGGCTGAAGTGATGCTCAGTGTGTCTTTACTAGAATGTTCTGCAAAGTTGTGCCCATCTGCAAGAAAAATCGTATTTTCTTAATCTCTTTTTTTCCATGTAACAGTAAGTAAGTTATTTTTTTGAAATTACATTAAAAAATAGTTGGTTTGCCAGTTCCCACCTGGGCCCTCTCATGCTGTACTCTCAATCTCAAACAGAACAAAAAAAGGACAGGTCAGGAGAAATCAAATCTAGTGGAAGACTTGGTTTTATTTTCATTGTTTAAACAACTCTACATGAGAATCTCATCACTGTTGTTCCTGGATTCTACAGGACTTAAGAAAAGTCTGGGGTAATGAGGATGCCTTGCAGCATTCTAGCTAACAGTCTTTTTCTATGGTGCTCATGATGACTTGAGCAAGCCCCAGGGAGCTGCTCAAGCAAACAAAGCAAGCTATATTCTCTCCTGAGAGACTGCAACTATCCTTCGCCTACAGAGTTCTCACTAACAAAAAGTCTGTAATGTATTTTTAGTAGCTTAATTTCTAAAAATGAAAGAGGTCTGGGTGGCTATAAAGCAAACCGTTACTAAAACAAAATGGTATCACATGGGTCCCTGATTAAAAATATATATATATATATATATATGTAACAACAAAACCAAGCATATATAACAACAGAATCCAAGAGTATACCAATTCTTGCATGTTTCTGATTTGTTCCATCACTCTTCCTCCTCTCCTTCGTCATCTACTTTAGGTCGGAAATTTTTCCTATTTCTCTTCTTGCTGCAATGGAATCCAACTTTTTCTGCTAATGGCTCTTCACCCACACCATGCTCAACTTCTGTATTCAGGTTCTCCGCCATCAGGCATCCCTCCTCCTCCTCTGTTGCTTTTCTACCACCACCTAAGTGTCCCAGCTCTACCTTATCCTCCTCCCTCAAGTCATCAGTCTTTCCTTTCAGATCTGTTTTGATGTGTTTCTTATCACCCTCTCCTGCCAATATTTTCTTTTCTAGTCCATCAACACCCCTTTTTGCAGGTTTGGTGAATACAATCCTCCCAGCTCCACAGCTGGAAGGGTCCTGGTTAAAATATGGCGTGTAGCTATCTTGAGCAGCTGAGCTTTGTTCCTCTCCTCTTTTCTTCAAGCCCTCTAGAAATTCCATGGCCACTGCCCTGTTAAACTTGTCACTAGACTCTGGCACCCCATCTAGGCTGTATTTGGTCCAGCGCTCTGGGTGTGCCACGTAGTCAGGCACTGCTGGAGACATTCTGGGAGCCTGCACTGGTCTGGTTGGCTTTCCAAGGCTTTCTGGTACCACATTACTTGACATGGTAGTTGGAGGTAAGGGACGTTTAAATCTCCCATCAACAACATTATCTTCAGACATTGAGGGCACAGACAATTTGGCTGCCTCCTCCAAGCAATCAAAAATACTCTGGCTGCGGAGAGAGAATGTAGAACTCATGCCCCTCAGATGGAACGGCTGAACAGGAGATCTCTCGGTGCTGTCTGATGGGTCAGCAGCGTCCCCTGATCTGTAATCCCCATCATCTACAGATGGATCCTCAGGAGATATTGTATCAACTTCTGCTTCATCTGCTAACCCCAAATCATCAGAATCAGAATCGCTGAGCGACACTGCGTCAGAGGGCTGAGCTCTTTCGTAGTCTGCAGCACTGGCAGCCCCAGAGCCCAGGAAGGGTTTATCATCATCCTGGTCTCCCATCTTTGAGCTATCACTCCACTGAGGTCCTTGATGTAGGCCCAGGAATGGCTGTATGTATGGTTTTCCAAATGCCCAGCAATTTCAATGCCTACAATACAAAGAAGCATGAAAATTCAATTGCACAATGAGAATCAACATATGGCCATCACTCAAGGACAGGCCTGATAATTATTACTACAATATCAGAGTACATTACCATGGAATGAATGCATGTTAATATTAAAGACATCCACAAGCCTTGTATTCTTCATTACAAGAATACAAAGTAATTATAAATAGTAATGCATACTGAATTCCATTAAAGGTATCAGCAAGACCGATTGCTAAACAATGAGCATAAGTTTTTTGAGCATAACTGTTCCACACATCTTCCAAGAACAGCAGTGATTCTCCAAAGTACACCGTGCATTTACCATACCATATAAATCCATCAAAACACGTCCTAATCTCTTACACTTTCTTTTGTCTGTTACAGTTCTTTATTGCCAACTTATATCCAGCTGCAATCACGTTCTACCTATTAAAAAGGGCGCTGCTGCTGATCAAGGAATGTGGCAGAACAGCCTGTAACATGTCAGGGCTACAGTTTTGCATTAGCTTTAAACTGACAAAGTACAAGGTCCACTCCTTCCTTGGCTTTAAGCTTTTATGTTATCACTAGATTGTTGCGATCACATGATGAGCGAGCTTAAGAAATGAATTGAGCGGGATTGTGAAAACTAATTGCACATGCCATGCTTGTGTGAGCACACTGGGAACAAGGGGAGGGTGCAACCAAGGGTCAGTAAGAACTGGCCATTTGGTCAATCAAAAGATACAGTGACCCGAGTTTTAGTACAGGCTGAAACACCCTATTGCCTGCCTGAAGGCAGCCCTGGGGAACTGAGGTGGTTGATGATCACCCCACCGCTTGCTGGGCAGTCAAAAATAGAGTTTGCAAACATACACCTCAGTTCAGCTCTCCAAAATGTGAATTAGGGAAAGAGTTCTCATTTACTATTAGATTAAGTTAAACTACACAATTATAGGTTCTTCTGAAAAGCCGCAGTAAACAGACATGGGAAGTCTGCTGGTCACTCACTTTCTCTTGAGACTGAGTCAGCTTCCCTTCCCGAGGGTCAGTTAAAGCCACCAAAGATCTCAGCACTTCCGCCCTAGAAAACAAGCATTTCCATCAAGATACTGGAAATGTAGTTTCAAAATGAGTTTTGAAAATAATTCTTTCTCCCTGAGTCATCCAAAGCTACAGAGCTGAGTTCTAAATCTGACACAAACTCGAGCTCGCATAAAAAGTCTTCAGATAATCCTGAATATTGGCAAAAGAACAGCACAAACCTACTAGGGCAGGCTCCATTACAGTTATTCAGTCTCCACGTTCACACCACCAAGCCTTATTCTGTACAACAGAAGAGAGGCTTTTAAAAAAACGAAGCTGTAATTTACTCGTGCAGTAAACAATTAGTAAATGTAGTGTAGTTGTAAATGTAGTTAAGTGCAGCCAAGGAAATACTGTAGTAGTACTTATGCACTGCAGGTACTGCATGCCACTGGAAAAGAGACCCAGGATACCACAAAGATGTCTGTACAGAAGGGTCATATGCACCAATGCGTGAGGCATTAATACATGGAGAAACTTCCAAAGAACTGAACGGCCCAAATGCTGTGTTGTGTGCAGTCTGGCTGTATTTGACTAAGGGAACTGATGGTTCCTTTGAGACATGGCCTTTAGTGCAACCCCTACATGCAACATAATCATCTGAAGGTCCTGCATCTTTCTGTTTAGTTTTATAACACATGAAAGAAACGAGCGCAACTCTAAAGAGACACCAAGAAGCACAGCTGAGCAAGACAGCTGTTTCAGGCTATGAATGAGGACACCTCTTTTCTAAGAACATTTATACAGAAAGAACATACGAACAGCATTGATACCAAACACGCAGATGCTGACAGCACACCAGACAGACTCACACGTTCGTTACAGCAATGCGGGCACGGCACAGCGCAGACAGGCCCGTGTCCCTCTGGCTGGCACATTCTCCATCAGCCTCTCCCATCCTGGCCTCGCCCTCCTGCAGCTGTGAGGCAAACGCAGAACTCCGTTACCCCAAACCTCGGCCGCGACCCCGTTCTCCTTGCAAAGACAGCACGACGGTACAGCCCACCGCCTTGCCCGGCACCGCGGGCCCATCAATCGCACTCCTTGCCAGCTCAGAGCCCAGCTCCCCTCCCCGCACCGGGATCTTCCTGGATCTCCTCCGTACCCCGAAGCCGCGCAGGCCCGGCGCCCGCTCACAGCGCTACCCGCCTTTCCCGCCTGTCGCACTCCTCACGGCCGCCGCGACGGCACCTGCCCGGGGAGCGCTGGGACACCGAGTTCCCACCGAGCGCCACGGCGCTGCAGTATGCAGCACTGAGACTACAATTCCCAGAAGGCAAAGCGGCGAGGACAGGAACAAGAAGCGGAAGTGCGCCCCAACTCCTCTCCGCGTCGCCTCGCTTTGCATCCTGGGAGTTGTAGTTGCCCACGCTTTCCCCTTTGGGGGCCATTTTAAGAGCGGCGGCGCGGCGGCGCGGCGGGACTACAGCTCCCAGGATGAACCGCTGCCCTTCTCCAGCCGTTCGCCCGCCATTTTGCAGCCTGTGAAGCAGTGGGGGTGGCCCCGCCTCTCCCAAGCCGTGTGGAAAAAACGTGTCAGGCGTTGGTTTTTTCCTGATCGCTTGGGCTTGGCGGCAGTGAGCACTTCAGAGGAAGCGTGGAGTTTTTTTATTTGCTGTACTTTATAACCAGAAAGCCTCCAGTCACTGGAGTGTGAGACAAGTGTCCAGCCAAAAGCAAGTTTCCATCCTTTGTCCCAGAAGAACATTTTTTGTGTGTATGTCAAGAGTGGAATTCTGTCGGAACATGTTTTATTGGTGTTGGCCAAAGCTGCCTGGTTCTTTTCCCCATTCGTTCAGCTAAAAGCTTAAAATGTTGCAGTGGAAATGCACATCCCAAGCCGGCTTTCCCCTCAGTCCGTCTGCCCTCCCATGGGGTGCTGTGGCCTGCAGCGCTCAGCCACACCAGGTCTCCAGGCCAGTGCTCACACGCACTGTTTGCACTCCATAAATGTTCACAAGCATTGATAAATGTCAGTTAGTGCTTTTCTTTTTGCTTTTTGTTTTGTTTTGTTTTGTTTTGTTTTTGTGCAGGGAGGAATTTAGCGACGCATCTTTGCTTCATCTGCACTTCCGTGTCAGACGCCATTTCGTCAGACTGCCCCTTTGCTGCCATGTGTCACACGCCAACAACGTGTAATGAGATACTGGTGGGAAGGTTCAACCTCTGCTGCTATACCACCACCATCCACCCCTGACATCATGGGCCAATGTAATAAAACAGGAGGCATTACTTTCGGAGCAGCCCTTGTTAAAATATATATAGAGAGAGAGTAAATGTATGTAAATAACAAAACTTATTATTAAAACATCAAAGAGAGCAACAAAACATGAAACTAGTGGGATGCTTGACCTTGCTTTTGTGAAACTGATGCAGCAGTGTAGTTCAGTGGGAGCAGTTCCAATTCTTAGCGAGTTCTCAAGGTGTTTGTCAGAGATTTTTTATGAACGTTTACTGCACGTCATCCTTGAAAATAGTTGTTCACAAATGTATGTGCTGACAAAAAACAATGACATCAGTAAGGCGTGATTGTGAAGCATGGAATATCTTTCTAATAATGCAGCCCTATCTCGTCTGGTGTCCATGGCACCTTCACACACACACAGCCATGCCATCCACACCCTGTTGCACCCCTTGCAGATGCATGTGCCACAGGTGAGGCTGCACTGCTCGTGAGAAGTTCACACTGAGTCCCTTCAAGAGGGGCCTCACCACAAGATATCCCTCACATAAGCTATTTCATTTGCATTGTCAGTTTTTTAAATATCTCCTGCCTTCTGGAGCGTTGCTAACTGCAGTAATTTATGAGATGAGGGCTGCCTCTCGGAACACGTTTGGCAGCAGCACCAAAGTTAGCATAAAATGTCTTTCGTCTGGCTGGAGCCATGCTGGAGTTCTAAAACAGCGGCTCTAGAGATGTCTCCCCATTTGGTGACCCTTTCCTTAAACGTATACACATATATAGCACAGGCACAGTCAGATGGGTTCCTGGCTGGAGGGAAGAGAGAAGAAAGCAGAGCCTTCTGGCATGTGAGCAGGAACAGAAGGGCAGTCACAGGCAAAGGAAAGCATTGGGCAGGCGAGACACAGGCTGGCTGAGGGCTGAGCCTGCTGCATAACCCTGTCTGGGCGTACCAGCAGCAGGCAGGGAAACGACATGTAGTAAGCACTGTCATGCCCTATTTTTGTAAGGGTGGAGACAAGCAGCACAAGCCATGGATGTGGGCTTGTTGTTTTTTTTGCCAGGATGCAGTTGATGGCCAAGGTTACTACAACAGCTGTCTGTACCCTTTTTCTTCTTTCCTTTCCTATCATTGTGCAGAAGATGAGTCTCACACACTGCAGAGAACTGGGAATGAGCTGTTCTTTTCTCTGCTGACTGAAGACAAGACAGTTCACGATGGTGAATGTGCTGCTGTGTTGGGATTTTTGCTATTGCTTGGTGACAGCTGAAATAAAAATAATGAGTCAGATCCTAAAGACGAACAGATGGTAAAGCATTTCCCCTAGCCAGCGTGAACTAAGATGGCTTGAAGAGGGGTGGGGGGCTGGACATGGCTCTGTGTGCCATCACAGGAGATCTTCTAAGCAAGTACACTGTGCCTGGAGCAGGCTCAGCTCTTCCACAGGTCCTATGCCTCTGCGGGAAGCAGTGCGTCTCCACTCAGCCCTGCTGTTGGGAGCCTGTGTTCCTTTCTTGCACATAAATCCGCTGTTGGCCCCTATCCGGTGACTGTTTCCGCTGCTCAATTGGCAGGCTCCAGCCCAGCCCATGCTCTGGAGGCTTCTTTGCTCGGAGCCTGGCTGGGAGAGTCTGCCTGCCCTTCTCTTCATGGCATAGGAAACTGGCAGCAGCCACTGTGATACTGAAGACCAAGCAGGGCAATCCAATGCATTTTCTCCATCTCATGCACCCAGAACAACTGTGGACATGAGTCTGGTATGGCCATGCTCAGCTTGATGCCAGAGTTCATGAGGGGAAGTGGAGAAGGAAAGGAGCATTTTCCTGTAGGTAAAAATCACAAGCACAGCAATGCACAGCATGTCCTCCTCTGCTGGAAGACTGCAGTTGCACCGAGCCAGAATGAGTAAAGGCTGGGGGAAATAATCACCTGACCTCTCCTATTTACAAGAAGGAAAGCCTATAAATATCCTTGAAACCCTGTGGGACGTTTCCAGGATTTGGTGCTTGACACTGCCTTTCTCCTACATCAGTTTTTGCTTACCTGTTTTACTTTTGTGCTTTCTTATTGGCCCTGGCTCTCATGCAAGCAGATTTGATTTATTCCAGTGCTGTTTACTCACATTGGAGTTTTTTCCTTGCTAAGTGAGCTGTGTAAAATTAACTCATGTGGAGGCAGTATTCTTAATGAGGACAGGTATCAACCTGACTGCCTGACTCTTCCCAATAACAAAGTTACTCCCAACCTATAGGGAGAACCTGCAATTGTTTTCTGTTAGGGACATTTTGTATGTAAGAGAGAATTTGCCTGGCCTTGCACCATCACATTTTGGGTGCTCACCAAAGCTCTGTTTGAACATGAGGCAATTCCCTAGCAAAACAGGGCCAAGAAACACTTAGAAAGAAAGGAAAATGAAAAAAAAAAAAAAAAAGTGATTAAATTGTAACTAGAAACATTACTTGCAACCACCAGACATGAGGGGTTCATGGAATCCCTGCAGAGAAATGCAGGAAGTCCACCTTCCCATGCCTAGCTGCTGCAGTTATATACCCACTGTAATGTATCTGCATGTGGGAAGATGTGGGCTTTCCAGCATTTTTAGCAGCTGAGTGGTGTTTTCTTTCTTCTCCAGCTCCCTGGGCTCCGAAATGGAAGCAGCAGGCTGCCTGCATCAGGCAAGCTGCTAGAGGTCAGCTGAAATGTTTACACCACCGGAGTGCATCTTTGTGTATCTACCTCCTGCTGAGCTCCCGCCCTGTGCAGGACAGCGTGATGATCCCCAGGCTGAAACTGAGGAATGGTCAGGCAGACATCACAGAAATTAACACCGCACTCTTAACTTCTGTTTGGTGCATACGGGATGAGGGGATTCCAGCCTGTGTCTATCACTTAATCGAGCACTTGGCATGCAGTTAATTATGTTTGCCTTTCCCCTTCAGCACCCACTAACGCCCAGCAAAGGCCGCGGCGGCTCAGATCAGGAATTTGAGTGCAGCAACTGAGACATCCTTCATCTCTGAGCCAGGCAAGTGGAGCTGGCAGCTGGAGGAGAGGGAGGGAGGGTGCCTTCCCCTGCAGCAACCGCTGCTGTAAACAGCTCTATGGGAGAGCTGCCTGCTCCCAACACCCCATGGGACTACAGCACAATGTAGTTAGAGCTCAGACAACATCTAAACACAGAATGGACATCAGCAATTTATACCTTTGCTGCTAGTCCCAGCCCTCTTAGTAGGAAGCAATTAGACACATTGCTACTGGTAACACAAACAGCCCAGAATAGGCTTAGGAAATAGAGCTGCCCAAAGCAAAAAATACCTCCAAAACTTCTCATTAGAAATGCTCTAGAGAGTTGTTTTAAAAACAGTTGGTGGGGGCAGAGGATGAACGAAAAGGATTCTGCTGGGAAAAGCCTAAATTAGTATACAATTGTTTGACCAAAAAAAAAAAAAAAAACCCCTAAAAAAACTCCAAAACAATATTTTCAAGTTAATATTCCTAGGAATCAGGAGTCTCCAGTAACACCTCCAGTGAGTTGGCCCTTCCTTTCTAAGTCCTTCAACCCTCTGGATAAGAAA